TAGCCCCTAAATACCTTTATAGAGACCTATTAGCTATACTTCTTAGAGGTAATAGGAGTAACTTACTCACCTTTACCTACTAAAGTTAGTATTTAAAATATTAAACTATTAGTAGTTAAATATATAAAAAGAGTAATTATTACCTTAGCTATTATAGTAGTAGTTAGTATATATACTAGAAGTAATACTATCTTTATTATTAAGAGGTAGAATATATCTAACCTATATACTTTTACCCTTACTATACTTAATATAAATATTCTTAGCTTTATTACTATTAATCTAAATTATTATTATAATAGTATTATAGTAACTTTTACTCTTCTTAAACTTATTATTTATCTTAGTATTAATCTTAGTATTATATTAGATAGAGGTATTAATAAGATTATTTATAATACCTTTAGTAAGCTTCTAGAAGTTTTTAATAAAACCCTTTATATAGATATACTTCTAAATAGCTATAATTCTTTTATTAGTATATAATATATAATAAATAAATAGAAAAAGATATATTCTTAAGAACTTTAGTCTAAGTTAAAGCTTAAGAAGAGGATACCTTTATAAACTTCTAAGTAGTAATAGTCTTCTATTAATAAGAAGGAGTAGACTTAGTAGCTTTATTATTATCTTACTTCTAAAAGAAGTACTTCTTATATACCTATTTAATTATAAGCTTTCTAGTACTAAGACTAATAAAGTAAGAAGGTACCTATTCTAAAGATTTAAAAATATTATTATAGTTATACTAATTAGCTATCTTTTCTATTAAAACTACTATTATTAATATAATATAGGATATATTCTAAAGAAGGATTAATAAATCTTTTTTAAGTTCTAAAAGAAATAAATAGAATTAGTCTATTATAGTAAATATAAAGTAGGGTAGTCTACTATAGTAAATATAAAGTTAAGTAGAGAGAAGGTAAATATTAAAGAGAAAGTAAAATAATATTAAATATAAATATAATAAGAGTATATATATACTAGAGAAAATATAAAGATAATAAAGAAAGTAAGAGTATTATTAGATATTATAGTTTTTTTTAGGAAGAATAGAATAGAAAGTACTTTTAAGATAATATCTTTTATTATATAAAATATATTAATATAATATATAAAGAGGTAGGCTATAATAAACTATTCTACCTAAATATTTTATATTTATTATATAAAGTAATCTTTAATATTCTATAAATAGTATTAATAAGGTATTTATTTAGTTTTAGTATTTAACTAAAGCTACTTACTGATTCTACTTATAACTTAATAGCTTTTAACTATTTTAGATACTTAACTATATTTAAAGTTATAATTAAGTAATAGATATATATAAAAGATATACCTTTTTTTCCTCTTTTAAATAATACTATATATACTCTATTTATAGGAATATTAGAAATATTATAATAGTTTCTAGTTATTTATATAAAGGTTTATTTTCTACTTACTTACTATTATTTCCTTTCTCCTCTTATAAATATACTATTAAAAATAAAACTAATAGATTTAAAATCCTTTCCCTATCTCTATAATATCTAATACTATCTTTACTAATATTAGCTTTAATAATATACTTTTTATAAGAATAAATAAACTAAGTAGTAGAGTAGTATTAGTAAGCTATAGCTAATAATACTAATACTTTAGAAGAAAGGCTATAAGTAGTTCTTCTATAAGGAGTATTCCTCTAAGTATTAGAAACTATATTAATACTATATTTAAACTTAAAAGGTCTAAGTAGATAAGTTACTTTATACTTCCTCTATTTAAGTTATAATATAATAGAGGATAATATAAATAGCTTTATTACTACTTAATATTATAATCTCTAATAAGTTACTATAAAGTTACTTTAGATAGTAGAGCTTACTAGCACTAAATAGTAGTATAATAACTAATTTATAAAACTAGCTAGTATTTTATAGTAAGTTTAAATTATTTATACCTAATATATAAGCTTATTATTATTATTACTATTACTCTATATAAAACTCTATTTCCCTCTCTAATAAATACTCTTCCTCTAGTTTAATAGCTTTCTCTTCTTTTAAAGAGTAAATAATACTCTTTTATAAAACTTCTAAGTAATCTTTTTAGTATAAAATACTTTATAATACTAAGAGTGAGGATATTAAATTTATAAGGTGAAATTTTAATAAAGTTAATAGTATATTAATATATAATAACCTCTAAGTAGCTAATATAGTTAGTATAGCCTTTTAGTATAGCTTTTTAGTATAAAGTAGTTAGCTTAAAAGGTAAGTATTTCTTTACTTATTTATCTTACTGAGGAGCCCCTTTTTATAAGAGAAGAGGCTTATAAACTTTTTTCTCACTTAGCCTATTTATACTTATACTATTATTCCTACTTAAAGATAAAGATACTAATACTATAGTTAAAGAAGCTAATCCTATTATTATTATCTTTATTATTATTATTATTAATAACTAGTTTTAATATAGCTTTTTAGTATAAAGTAGCTAGCTTAAAAAGTAAGTACTTTTTTAGTTTTATTATATTTACTATTATAATATAGCTAGTTTTTAACCTCTACGCCTAAGTAACTATTATTAGAGATAAATAAGTAAATAAGATTTCCCTATAACTATAATAATTTCTATAAGATTTCTTAAGTAGAATTTAAAACTTATTAAATAGATTTAATTAAAAACTTTCGCTAAGGATATATATATTTAGTCTTAATTATTAATACTAATAGCTTTCTCTAGTATAATACCTAAGAATTAGACTAGGTTTTAGATAATTCTACCTAAATTAGTAAATATTATTATATTATAGGAATTTATAAATAAAATTATAAGCTTTCTTAAGAAGTATAATAAAAACTTAGTAGAAGCTATATTAACCTCTTAATTAAATTTATAGTATAGCTATAGCTCTCTTTATATAACCTAACTATATAATACTCTCTAGTTAATATAGAATAAACTAAGTAATTATATATAATTACTTATAGTTATTATTATCCTTATTATCTTTATTATCTTTATTACCCTTATTATTCTCACTATCCTTATTATCCTTATTATCTTTATTATCTTTATTATCCTTATTATCCTTATTATCCTTATTATTCTTATTATCCTTATTATTATTACTCTAAATAGCTTAAACTAAAGTTAAGTAATTATATATAATTACTTAACCTCTTAAGGTATTAATTTATACTTATATTAAGGCTAAAGAGTATCCCTTTTAGATAAATATATCTAGAGAAGTTCTTAAATAGAAAGATTACTTTATTCTATTCTACTTATAAACCTCTTTTCTAGATATCTTCTACTATAGATAACTTTTATAATTAGATATTTAATTATTTTAATCACCTTAATTTACTCTTTCTAATAGTGAAATCACTAACTATAAAAGTTAATTACTTATAAAGTTATAAAGAGTTAAAGTTTCTATATCTAAATAATTCCTTTAGTAGATACTTTATAGTTATTTATATTATTATAAAGTAATATTAAGGAAGTATATATAAAGAGTATATATAAAGTATCTCTAAGGATATAATACTACTTTAGAAGTAATATTTTATTTTAACTAAAATAAAACAAAAGATTAATTAAAAAAGTAAAAAATTAATTTAATAGAATAAATCTATTAAATTAATCTTAAGGAATAAGCTAGAAATTAATAAGATCTTAAATCTAACCTTATTATAATTAGTAGATAGAGGATAAGTAAGTCTAAAAACTTTTATAAAATAACTATAACCTAATAAATAATATTTAGTTTTTAGATATAAGCTAATTAAAAGAGAATAGATAATATATACTTAGTTTTAATATATAAATTAGTATACTTAGTTTTTAGATATAAATTAGTACTTCTAATTAAGATATAGTAAGTTAGAACTAAAGTAATTATTATAGTATACTATACTATTTTTAGAGTTTAAATAGTAACCCTCTAAAATTATTAACTCTAGAGACTTATTAATTTTATTAATAGAAAGTAATACTAACTAGACTAAATAGCTATCTAATTCTATCCTATAAAGAGTATCTATTAATAATTTATTATTAAAGTAAGTATATAAAGAGTATTAAGTATAATAGAGTATAAAATAGAATAAAAAAGCAATATAGGAAAGTATAAGTAATAAAAGTATATTAGGATAGAGCTATAAACTTATAATTACTACTTTAGGATAGGAATAGCTTTAGGTATAATTATAATTATTCACCTATAATTATATATAATTATAGGGTTAAAGTTAGGTTAACTTCAACCTATATTAATTAATTTAAATAAGGTGTAGGGTTAAGTCGGCCTAACTTTCGTCCGTAGAACCCCAAAACCAGCGGTTAGCAGATCTACCTTAGTGGTGCACCATAGTCAGCCAATGAGCTTCTTGATCCTTCACGAACGGCGGTTCGGTACTTGAACAGCCAAGCACGGGGTTGGTGAGCTTGTTTTCCAAACAAGCATTGACTCGTGCACCGCGCGACGGGTCTCTTCAGGGATTGCTGGTAGAATAAGCTTTTTTCGTGCAGCTGAACACCCTATATTTGGATCAAATCGGCCGGCATTCAGGGGTATGGTGATGGCAGCCAGGGGCTCCCCGGTCACCGATCCGCGTATGCAACGCCGGTTTGGCGAACTTTTGAGAGGGACTCGTTATCGTGTTCCTTCTCGAACCCATCTACACTATGCGGGGCGCCAGGAACGTGCCGTGATTTCGTCACGTCATTGGCAGATGGTCTTCGGAGTTGATCATCATCCTTGTCGGGGGCCAGCTGTCTGTGCTCCGTGTTGTCTTGAAGAATGCCATGGGGCGTGTCATTACGGGGAGAGCTCCGAAGAACTGCCAGCTTGGCCCACGCGTTCTTGGGAAGAGATCGAGAATCCAGTTTCTGTAGCTGTCTGGCTTTCTCAACTTGCCATTGAAGCTAAGCTCGTTGAGACTGAGATCGAGAAGTCGTCATTCTTGGTCAATTCTTGGTCAATCCGGCGACTGTAAGCCATCATGGTGAAGATAGAGATTCCCGAGCAGCTTGCTGCTCATCTGAGCAAACTCCCAGCTTTGACGTTCACCAACATCTTCCTCAGCTTCTGGGGTCTTGTACGTCATCCTTCTGCGCAAATCATCGCCAAGTCTCTAACCTCCCTTTCTAGATCTTCTCCTATGTCGCCTGCAGGTCATTCTACTACCTCTATCTCAGCCCCCTCCGCCACTACCCGGGCCCCAAGCTCTGGGCCATCTCCCGCCTGCCATGGAACTACGTCAACATGAAGGGTCGCATCACCTGGAAGATCCGCGAGTTGCATGAGCAGTACGGCCCCGTGGTGCGCATCGCGCCCGACGAGCTGTCGTACACCTCCGGCGCGGCGTGGAAGAAGATCTACGGCCAGCGCAGCCCCGAGTTCCCCAAGGCGCTCGACGGCCGCGGCATCGCCCCCGCGAAGCTCAACGGCCACAAGACGCTCATGACGGAGGCGCAGGAGCGGCACGCGAGGCTGCGCAGGGCGATCAACCCGGCCTTCTCGGAGAAGGCGCTGCGTGAGCAGGAGTACTACTTCCAGAACCACTCGGATAACATGGTGAGGCAGCTCATGAAGAGATGTAATGAGGGGCCGGTGGATATGTCAACGTGGTTCAACTTGCTTGCGTTCGACATTGTGTCTGGTGAGTTGAAACCTCACGAAAGTCTACATGATATTGACTGATACATGACAGACCTCGCCTTCGGCATTCCCGCAGGCGCTCTCGACAACGCAGACCAGCCCTGGATCCGCGCCATCATGGGCCGTGCTACCGCGTACGTCTGGATCCAGCTCGCCGTGCAGTACGGCTTCTTCGAATTCCTCACCTGGGTGACCCCGCGCCGCGTCACGGAAGCGCGCAAGAAGCACCTCGCCATGACGGAGGCCAAGGTGCGCCAGCGCATCGCGGCCAAGAACCCCGGCAAGGACTTCATGTCGTACATCCTCCACAACGACGAGGACGGCGTCAAGCTGTCCAACTTTGAGCTCGTCATGCTCGCGGGCACCTTCATCGTCGCCGGCAGCGGCACCACCGCCGGCGGCATGTCTGGGCTGACGTACTTTCTGCTGCACAACCCGGACAAGCTCGCGAAGCTCAAGGCTGAGATTAGAGGCGCGTTCAAGACAAGGGAGGAGATCACGATGGTCTCGGCGCAAAATTGCAAGTACCTCCGTGCGTGCATCAACGAGGCAATGAGGTTGTATCCTCCCACGCCTGGCTCGCTGCCACGCTGGGTGCCGGGGAAGGGGGAGGTGATTGAGGGTAAATGGGTTCCCGGCGGGTATGCGGTTGCGGTGAACCAGTTCGCTGCCGGACATTCGAAGCACAACTTCCACCGTCCCGGGGACTTTGTGCCCGAACGATGGCTTGAGCTGCCGCCTGGTTCCGAGTTTGCCAACGACGACAGGGCAGCTGTTCAGCCGTTTTCTTACGGACAGCGTATTTGCATTGGAAAGCCGTAAGTCTACATCACTCACAACTTAGACCGTGAACTGACAGCATCCAGGATGGCGTATGCCGAGATGAGCCTCGCGTACGCAAAGATGATGTGGTACTTTGATCTCGAGCCCAAGGATTTGTCGGAGGACTGGTGGACGCCGCAGGGAACGTACATTATGTGGGAGAAGCTGCCGTTGTGGGTTAAGCTGCGTCCGAGGGAGGGCATCGAGCAGGTTGCTTAGACGGTCTTGCGTTGTGTAGATTAGTCTGACGGCATCCTGGTGCAGCCCACGTGTCAAAGTAACCATGAAATCATTCGATGAAGTGCTCCTAATCTCTTTGAGTTTTCTGCCTGTCCAACGACGGGGAGTCTATCTGTACCTCGTTCCCGTAAACTCTGCAAAACGTGGCAAACCATCCGACGAACCATTCGCGGGCCCTCATGAACATCCAAGAAAGTTTCTTGACAAACACGACCATGATGCCACAACGTGCCGGCATCGATCGCCCTCCCTGTTGCCTTCAAATTGCTCTTGTCTCATTGGCCGCGCCCATCTTCTTCAACCTCCCGAGTCAGGGTCCTTGTCCAGGGGTTCAACATCCAGCGAACCCCTGACCCCTGACCCCTGATGCTTGTCAACTTCCCAGCAGCGTGGTCCTGCCGAGTCATTGAAGACACATCCAAGGATACCCATCCCCAGACGACGGGTCGTCAGCCCCCCGCGTCGGGATGGACCCGATGGAGACCGTCTTTTCGATGATTCCCTTACCCCTTTCGGACCTGCAAGCTCTTTAGCCAATGCCAAGCCTCGTCGACAGCACGTTGCTCTGGACTCACGAGGGGCAGTGACGTAGGTCCATTGACCAATAAACAGCTCGGCAGATGAGCGGTCGCGGGGTCATCCCGCCAGAGCCCGGAGCTCACCGAAGCTCACGATGATGGCCAAACTCTGCATACACCCAGACTCTCGTGGTGTTTTCACCCCCGATGCGAAGATGAACTTCTCGCCGTAACCTCACCACCAGAACACCAAACACCATCGCCAGAGACGAGACATCTTCACCACCGTCTCGCAACCATGGCGCCGCCAAGCCCCCTCCTCGACGCCGCCTTCACCCTCACCACCCGCTTCGCCAACCTCTCCCCCTACCTCCTCCTCCCCATCATCCTCACCACTGCCGTCATCCTGAACTCCGCCCTCCGCTCCCTCCCCCTCACCCAGAAAGCCCGCCGCCTGTCCTGCAAACCACCCCCCCTCGAACCGACCACCCTCCCGCTCGGCATCGACACCGTCCTCGCCTCCCTCCGCGCAGACCGCGAGCAACGCACGCCCGACCACGTCGCCGCCCGCTTCGCCGCCCTCGGCGTCCACACGTTCCGCATCGCCCTCCTCGGCACCACCAACCTCGTCACCGCCGACCCGCGCAACGTCCAGGCCCTGCTCGCCACCCAGTTCGCCGACTTCGGCATGGGCGCCGCCCGCAGCACCAACCTCAAGGCCGTCCTCGGGCGCAGCATCTTCGCCGCCGACGGGCCCGCCTGGCGCTCCGCCCGCGAGATGATGCGCCCCCTCTTCAGCCGCGACAACGTCTCCCGCCTGGACCTGCTCGAGGCGCATGTCCAGACGCTCTTCCGCTGCATCGAGCGCGGCGGCCTCTCCGAAAGATGGACGTCCCCCGTCAGCCTCGCCTCCCTCCTCCCCTCCCTCACCCTCGACTCCGCCACGGAGCTCTTCCTCGGCCAGAGCACCTGCACCCTCGCCGCCCGCCTGCGCGACGACCACGCCCACCCGGGGATGGCCTTCCACCACGCCTTCGAGCGCATGCTGGCCCTCCTCGGCGTGCGCATGCGCCTGCGCAGCTTCTACTGGGCCTACGGCACCGCCGAGCTGCAGGCCTGCGTGAAGACGCTGCACGCCTTCGTCGACGACGCCATCGCCGCCTCCGACGACGCCCAGAAGCGCGGCGACTCCCTCGCGCGCTACGACTTCCTCACCGTCCTCCGCGAGCGCTGCGACGGCGACGACACAGAGGTCCGCGAGCAGGTCCTCGGCCTCCTCGCCGCGGGCCGCGACACGACGGCGAGTCTGATGAGCTGGGTGTGGTACTGCCTGCTGCGCTCCCCGCGCGTCTTCGCCAAGCTCCGCGCCGAGGTGTTGTCTACCTTTGGCACCTACGCCGACGACCCAGCGGAGAGAGTGACCTTTGCCACCCTAAAACAGTGCACCTATTTGCAGCATGTCCTCTCGGAGACGCTGCGCCTGCACTCCGTCGTGCCATTCAACTCGCGCCGCGCCCTCGTCGACACGACGCTCCCCTGCGGCGGCGGGGCAGACGGCACATCCCCCGTGTTTGTACCCGCGGGGACGGAGGTCAACTTCAGCACGCACGTGTTGCACCGCCGGAAGGACCTGTGGGGCCCCGACGCGGACGAGTTCGTGCCGGAGCGGTGGGAGGCGAAGAGGGGCGCCGCGGGGGCTGCGTGGCATTTTGCGCCGTTTAACGGCGGCCCGCGGATCTGCATCGGGCAGCAGCTCGCGCTGACGGAGGCGGGGTATGTGGTTGTGAGGATGCTGCAGCGGTACGAGGGCGTGGAAGGGCTGGACGTGGATCCGGCGCGGGATTGGCATAACTTCACGGTGGTGTGTAGTCCGGGGAGTGTGGTTGATAGGAATGAGGCGGTGTTGTGTCGGTTGAGGGTTGCGGAGGAGTGAGGCCACAGTCAGTGTGAGGTATAAGTGGATGGTGGTTCCATCTGTTCATGATGAGGAAGTAGATGGATATTAATGAAGGAGTTCCTTTACTCGCCTATCTCTATCAAATATGCTCCAGATGTTTCAAGCGAATGATCAAGTCTTCCTATGCCAGTGTAAATCCTTCTCCCCGAGTCCAAGCGAGTGTTGTCACGAAGAGGATCAATGGGTATCATGAATGAAAGCCAGAATGTTTCGAATCTAATCAGCCCCAAAAATTGTCTTAGACGCTCTCCCTCGGAGTCACCGGCGACGCCCCCATCACGCTCGCGTCATCATCATCCAGGTCCTTGCTATGCACACTGCTGGCCGAGCTGCTCTTGTCCACGCTGATGCCCGCCCCATGAACCCCCGTCACCACATCCCTCCCCTCCCGCAGCTCCCAGCTCCCGTGCCTCTCGTGCGGGACGCCGCGTTTGGAGACGGACAGATCGGGATCGCTGGCCATCTTCTCCGCAGCTTTGAACCCGCCAAGGCTGGCTGCGGGTTGGTGGCCGTCTTTGTTGTCCTCCCTGCCCACGCGCCGGATCCGGAACCCGGCCAAGACGAACGCCGCGACCACGAGGCCGAGAACGGCGAGCACGATCGCTCCGCCGATGATGCCTGCGACATATGGCTTCCTCACGACCGCGCGGATTGCTGCGCCAATCGTGGGTGCCTCGGTGCTCCTCGCGCTGCAAAAGGGCTGCGAGGACGCGCACATGCTGCACCAGGTCGCCACGTCGACGCCGAACTTGAGCATCTCCTGCTTGAAGTAGCTAAAGGTCACGCGCGGCTCGGCGGCGGGCGAGCCGAAGAGGGCGTACTCCTCGAAGGGGGTTCCCGGGTCGGCGTTCCTGCGGTACAGGAACCGCACGTAGAGGTTGCTGTCCTTGGGGTAGGAGTCGGGGCGGCCGGGCTCGTCGCCGATCAGCTCGAAGAGCATGGCGGCGCCGGGCTCGGGGACGTTCCAGAAGGGGCTGGAGAGCGACGTGTTGCCCTGCTGGAGCTGGGCGAGGGAGAAGAAGGACAGGAAGGGCTCTTGGGAGCTGAAGAGCAGCGTCAGCTTGCGCGAGTAGCCGCCAAAGTTGCCGTTGGCTTTGAGCGCGTCCACGACCTGCTTGGCGAACGACATGCCGGCTACCGTCCGGATCCTGTCGCCCTTGGCCAGGCCGGAAGGCTCCTGATCCGAGTAGAGAGCCAGCTGCTGCTGTCTGCTGTAGACCTGAAGGAACTGGCTGTCCTTGACGTAGGCGTCCATCAGGGCGTTGTAGACGGCCTCCTCGTGCGAGTAGCGGTAGCGGATGTAGTCCCAGATGTTGTAGGCGTCCCAGAAGTTGGCGTTCGCGAGGGAGTAGACGCCGTCGTTGAGGGGCGGGGTGGTGAAGAAGGACTGGTATTTGGCTTTGGTAGAGTTGTAGAGCTTGAGCATGTCTGGGTCGCGGGTCATGTCAACCTGCGTCGAGACCTGCCATTGCGTGCACTCTGTGTTGCCTCGGAGGCTTTGCGTAGGGTTCGATGTTAGTCTGAACGAGGGAGCTTCGGATCACAGTCAGCCACTCACCCAATTGACCTCTGGTCCAAATACCCAGCAGTCTGGATGACAGGGTACTGATAGCCGTCCAGAGGGTACTCGGTGTAGTTCCCTGAAGTCGTCGAGAACGAAACGTTTGATCCGCCAGTGTCTACCGCGAATGTGTGACTGATGGGCGGGTAGAGTGCCTGCATGAATGCCTGCGCGCCGGCAACGACGTGCGCATCAGGAACCGAGAGGATATGGAGCTGGGCGTGGTCGACAACATTGGGGGCAATGTCTCGGATTGGGGCGCGGGAGGTGACCCGGCTCTCGGACGAGTTGGTGGGAGTGATGCCAGAGAGATAGCGAGTCCTGAATGCGTTTCCTTGGGCATACAGTTGTTGGGCTCCTCGGGGAGTCAGGACGTCGGAGAGCTCGCTGCGCAGAGGCGTGCGCTCGCCGTGCATCATGAGGGCGACCGAAGCCCATACTGTAGGATTGGAGGACTGAGCTGTTGCCGTGCCCAGAAGGGCCGCCGTGACGACGATCACCGACGGGGTGTACATCGTGAAGCCGAGATTTGGGTGACCGCAGGAGTCTGCGATCAAGACTACCGACTTGAGCAGACGATTGAGGTTGCGACAGGCGTTTGTGACAACGAGGAGGCAAGTTCTGGGCGGCCGGGGCTGGAGGGCAGCATGGTGTATTAATGAGGACTACCCAGAACAGCTTGCGCTGGCGCCCGAGGACCCGAGGAACAAAGAATGCTCGACTTGCATGCAGCTTTGCGGCGGCAGGCTAAGACGGTGAGAGAGATCTGGGCTGACATGTTCCTAGACAGGTCAAGCCTTCACCTTCACCTCCCGCCAATGGTTCGCAGAGTGCCATCGAGACGCTTATCCTGATGGGCGAAGTATGTGGTACAATGACGTGCTCGTTAGCCAGCACCGTCGTCCGAGTCATGGTACCAGTTGGTGTTGGTCGCGCGATATCGAGAGCCTGGTTCCCAAAGCTGCCGTCCTGACAGAGCTTGGCTGCTGGTTGGCGATGGGATGGAGGGGCACCATCCCGAATGGCGTCGGAGGTGCATCGACAGTCTAAAGTGTTTGCAGCAGGTGGGGTGGAGAACGTGGCAGATGATTGACAGTCCAGGGTGAAGTAAGCAGTCGAGGTAGCACGGCAGCAGTCTACCTTGCCTGGGTGAGGGTGCAATGAGGTGCCTCTGATGATAAGGCGCAAGATGGAGGGTTGGTGATGAAGCGGAGGAGAGACTATTGGACGGGCCAAGTGGGCGGGAGAAAGAGACACCAATGCAGCTGATGCGGGGTGTTGGACGGCTTCGTTATCACCAGCTTCAGCCAATGAAATGAGCCGACTGACACTATGTCGATGTATGGCGAACGCCGCAATCGGCTTCAGCTGCCGCAAGGAGCTCTGTCACGGCCGTTGTGCATGCGCCAGTGCCGATCAGGCGGGGGGGGTNNGAGGGGGCGCCATTGGATCAACAAGAGTAGATTCTGTGAGACCGACTGTGTGATTTGAACTGGATTAATACTGAAACGAAGGATGGAATGAAGCCAGACTTGTCAGAATAATTTCATGTTCCCAACTCCAATTGACAGTAGACAAAAGGCAGACGGGAGAGAGGCTAGGAACATCCAGCAACCTCACCCTAAGGTACCCAAGATGGCCTCTTCCCACGACTTCAGGCGTCGAGTTAGCATCATCAGCCACCCCTGGTCGATCTTGTCCAATGGGCTTACACCAAACGGCTCACATGCCACCCCGACAGGGAGCGGATAAGGATGGTGTTGGTGTGCCGCCCAGTACTACGCAGTAAGCTTAAGCAGTCTAGCGCACCCTAGTCGGGCGTCTTACGGTGTTGGAGCACAAGGACGCATCGAGATGAGATCTGCGGTGAGACATTTTGGCTTCAGAGGCTGGAGTTGCGGAGAATTGAGGTACGTTGAGCATGAATGCACAAGTTGGTTTCGTCGGAGCCGGGAAGGCGGAGCTTTTGGAGCGGCATGACATCCACTAGTACACCGATGTTGATACATGCAACACATCCTTTCACCTTGTTCTGGTAATTTAACATAACATTCATTTTATATCATGCTTCAAATTCATTGGCCGTGATTTTCGTGATATGACTGGTTTTACAACAAGCTGAAGGATGTGGCTGGCTGAGGACTCCAAGGCTGCCATTCAGCTGGCATGCAAGGGGCGTTTTGGAGAGAATAAAAAGAGCAGAAATGGCCATGACCCTTCAAACATGATCAAGGATATCCAGTACAGGTAGACGAATGCCATGGCTTCCCATATCTACACTATTCAGGTCAAAACAAATGGCAGCGCTGTCGCTTCTCGCTCTCCGCCAGGCCGCTCACTGAACCGCCCAAGGAAGGGGCTGCTCAACTGTACCAGTTGTCGCCGCCTATTGAAGCCCAGGCCGACGGCTCTAGCACGGCAAATTTCAAGATAGAGGGCGCATTCTTCGCCGTCCAAGGCACCAGGGCCAGTGGAAACACCTCCAGCATCAGCACACAAGAATTCCGAAAAAATACACCTGGGCCCGGGAGGATCCGTTTTCGGCATCAAGGCGGAGGATGGCGCCGTGGTCTGGGACGATACTTCAACGAAAGGTCATACGACGGAGGTGGAGGACGGTTTTGAGTTCTGGGCCGACGACTCAATTCGCAACGGCGCGAAAGGTGAGGAAGGTCCCTTGTGTGCCGACGATGTCAGGTTGCCGTGTCTTACTGACGTTGCACAGATGACATCTTCATCGGGGTCGGCCTCGTTGATCCCCACGACTCGGAGCAGGTCGTACCATTTGACGTATTCCACCCCGAGGCATCGAGCAAGTATATAATCTTGCCGCGGATGAAGATAGTCTTGACCGCGTCGCATTATGAGCACGGAGAACATGTGGACACTACAACTTCTACCTATGCTGGCGTTGACTGTGCCCAAAGCCTATCTCACTTTCGACGCTGGAGGCCACTTGGTCGATGATCATGACAGAAGCAAAGAAAACGGGGTCGGAATACTGCCCTACGGGTCTGAAATTGATGCCATCCACGTTGAAAAGATAGGGGGATGAACAGACAGCAATGCAATTAGAATCGTGCCATGGCCTTCAATTTCAGGTCATGTTTTCATAGGGATTATGTGCAATTCGCCAGGTGGTGACAGTCGCAATTAAATCAATTTTACTGCAGTGCTTAACTAAACTCACAGCGAAGTCTCCAACTCAACCAAACCCTTCAGCACCGCGTCCTTCTCCCCCTCAAACTTTGCGCTCGCAACCATGCCGAGCGGCCGTCTACTCCTGCCACCACCGTACCCGAAATACCTGTCCAAAGCCGCCTTCAACCCCGCGACGCCCAGCTGCACCAGCACCCAGTCCGCCTGGCTCAGCTTCGTCTGCAGCTCCTGCGCCTGCTTCAGCTCGCCCGCGTCGTACAGCTCCAGCAGCCGCAGGTGCACCTTGGGCACGAAGTTGGCTGCCGCCGCGATGACGCCGTTGGAGCCGGCCACCAGGCCGTGCAGGAAAAAGTCCGACTTGCCCGCGAACGCGGCGAACGGCTGCGGGATCTTGGCGTCGTGCGCGACGCGGTGCAGCTTGCCCAGGTTGCCGCACGTCAGCTTGCACCCGACGATCTTGTCGTTGGACGCCGCCAGCGCCGCGATCAGGTCCGAGTCGAGGTCGATGCCGGACGTGACGGCGGGGAAGTTGTAGAGCAGGATCGGGATGGGGGAGGCCGTCGCGACGTCGTCGAAGAATTTCTGGATGACGGGTTTCTGCATCGCTCCGGCTGGATACCGAGTCAGCAAAGTGCAACGTTTATCATGCATGATGCACAACGGCTCAGCTTCCGATGGACCCAAAACTTACTCCAGTAGCTGGGCGACAGCACCAGGGCGTAATCGGCGCCGGACTCCTTGGCCTCGCTGCACAGCTGGATGGTCTCCCGGGTGCTCTGGGCGCCGCAGCCGGCGATGATGACGGCGTCGGGGCGGCCGTGCTGCTTGAGCACCGCCGCCGCGGTCGCGATCACCTGCTGCCTCTCCGAGTGGAGCAGATGCGGCGCCTCGCCGTTGGAGCCCTGGATCACGAGCCCGGCCACCCCCGACTTGGACAGCCGCTCGATGTGCGTCTTGAGCGCCTCCACGTCGAGCGTCTCGTCCTCGTGGAAGAAGGCCACCACGGGGGCGTAGATGCCGCGGGGAGGACAACGGGGCGCCATTATGATTTGGCTGTGTGGTTTCAAACGTGTGATTTGGTGTGTACTGACTGCGCTACCACACAAAGATTCTGCCAACCCAGACACAAGAGACACACACCAGGGCCAGCTGCTCTTATTTCTCCCGCCGCCTGCTCCATTGATTGCTCCATCACTCGATAGCGCGGACTTCACTCCTGTTGCCCTCGGAGCATTTGATAATTATCTCGTGGCGCCATCCATGAAAGTGGACAACGAACCCCGCGGGCCCCTCATCCGAAATGGCCCAGCGCCGGTGCCGGCCCTTGCTGACCGGCTTTCGTCTCCGAATCGGCTGGGGTCCCGAAAACGGGAAGGTCTGCTATCACAACCGCCATCCCTCGATCATGATTGACGTTCATTTGGACAGTGCTCATGACTCTTGATCCATCGTAACGACATCTCATCGCAGTAAAAACTACAGTGACAATGGGCTCAATCAAGCAGACTTCGGCGTTCGAGAGATCGCAATTCATCCCGCCCGACGCCATCTTCGACGTGACCAGACGCTACCTCGCCGACACGGACCCGAACAAGGTGAACCTCGGCCAGGGCACATATCGCGACGAAAATGGCCAGCCTTGGATCCTGCCTTCAGTAAGAGCCGCAGAGGCAGCCCTCGGAGAGCCAGGCCACGAGTACCTCCCCATCGCAGGATTCAAGCCGTTCCGCGACGAGGCCGTCAAGCTCGTCTTCGGCCCTACCAAGGCCTACGCAGAGAACAGGGTAAAACCAGCCACTTATACAGCTCTAGGTCAACCGTCACTAACAACCATCAAACAGGTCGCATCATGCCAATCCCTCTCAGGCACCGGCGCCCTCCTCCTCGCCGGCCTCGCGCTCAAGAAGGCCGACACGGGCATCAAGACAATCTACATCACCGACCCGACCTGGTCCAACCACGACCTGCTCTTCGCCTCCATGGGCTTCGCCGTGAAATCGCTGCCCTACTACAAGGACCGCGCCTTCGACTTTGACGGCTACATCGCCACCCTCCGCGCCGCCGAGCCCGGCTCCGCCGTCATCCTGCACGCCTGCGCGCACAACCCGACCGGCTGCGACCCCTCTCAGGACCAGTGGAAGCAGATCGCCGCCGTCATCATCGAGCGCGGCGTGTTTCCGGTGTTTGATTCGGCGTATCTCGGCTTCAACTCGGGAAACGTCGACGAGGACGCGTGGGCGATCCGCTACTTTGTCGACGAGCTCGGCCTCGAGGCCGCCGTGTGCATGTCCTTTGCGAAGTCGATGGGCCTGTACGGCGAGCGCATCGGCGCCGTGACCTTTGTCGCGCGCGACGCCGAGACGACCAGGACGGTAAACTCGATCCTGGAGAACGTGCAGCGCGCGACGGTGTCGAACCCACCGGCCTTCGGCGCGCGCATCGCGGCCAAGGTGCTGGGGACCCCCGAGATCAGGGAGCAGTGGGCTAAAGATTTGATCACAATGTCGGGCCGCATCCGCGCGATGAGGAAGAAGGTGTATGATGAGCTGGTGCGGCTGCAGACGCCGGGCGACTGGTCGCATATTGTCAAGCAGAGCGGCATGTTTGGGTACACGGGCATCAGCAAGGCACAGGTGCAGCATCTGGAAGGTGAGATTTCCAGGTTTCATGGAGTGGTAAAGCAGTTTGCTAACATTTTGAACAGAAAAGTACCACGTTTACATGGCCGACACATCACGAATCTCGATTGCTGGGCTGAACGAGAAGAATGTCGAGTATTTTGCAAAGGCGCTGGATGACACTGTTAGGAGCGTCGCATGAATTACATAGATTATCAATTTGAAGATGCTACACTCAATTCCCAATATCATCTGTCTACTACCATCAATCACCATGAAATGACATATCTTCTGAAATGACCATACGGCCAATTGAAGAGCATCCAAAGTAATCCCCCCGGGCAAGGTTGATGCCGACAACCACACGCCGGGCGCCGAGCGGAGCTCCACCTACCCAAAGCGCCCTCGGACACCCCTCCCGAAGCTGATAAGGCCCGCTACCCCGCCACCTACACCAACCGCCCTTCAGGGTCTCTCGGAGGGGTAACATTTCCCCATTTCCCCCCATCGATCCAGAGTCTCTTATCGCGATTCAGATGAGGCGGGAGGAGCTCTCTCTTTCTCACTCCGCCTCCACAACCCCTCCCCTCTGCTTGTGATGGGATTTGCGGAGCACGCCTTGCCCGGGGAGAAGTCCATGGTCGCCGAAGAGCCCACCGATGGAGCTCCGAGGGTAGTCTGGCCGCGAGCCTCGGAGGATTGCCTCTTTGGGCGCGCTGTAGATACCGCACGTCAGTTGAGGGGACTGGTATAATCATCGCGACGTCCTGCTTCGATTGAGATAACCTCAACTCGATATCACCATTTCCATCTCTTCAAAGCCCGTATTAGTGTCTGTCCTCTCGAGCCATCGTCGGCACTCTCATTTACACTACAACTACACCACCACCTACCACAAACTCACAGATCAAGGGCAAGATGGGTTCTCTTCCAGGTCCAGTTGAGGGTATCAGGATATCCATCGACCGCGGTGGCACCTTCACCGATGTAAGTCTCGTCTGCTCTTCGCAGCACCCAGCCAACGCTGATAATTCTAGTGTGTCGCCTCCGTCCCCGGTCAAGATGACATCCTCGTCAAGCTGCTTTCCGTCGATCCCGCCAACTACCCCGATGCCCCCGCCGAAGCCATCAGGAGAGTGCTGGAGAAGGCGACGGGCAAGGAGTATCCCAAGGGGAAGAAGATTTCGCTGAGAGGCGTTGGTGAGTTCTACTTCACGAAACACTGTTTATTAGCGGCATCAACTGATGAGGCGTAGAATCTATCAAGATGGGCACAACGGTCGCAACAAACGCGCTCCTCGAGAGGAAAGGAGAGCGCACAGTATTCGCAGTCACCAAGGGTCTCAGGGTGAGTACACTAACCAAAAAGATATTCGCTCTCAATGCCGACGCGTGAGTAGGATCTGCTTCACATTGGCAACCAGTCAAGACCGAAACTCTTCGACCTCGCCATCCGCAAACCCGACGTCCTGTACTCCAAGGTCATTGAGATTCCAGAGCGAGTGACCCTCGAGGCGTGGTCAGAGAGCAACAAGCCCGAGACCATCGACATCGACTCAGATCCCGCCCTCGTCAAGGGCGTCACCGGCGAGGCCGTCCGCGTTCTCGAACCTCTAGGTAAGCCACGACGTACCCTCACACCAAAAATGCCTGCCTAACGACTCCCTCGCAGACCTTGAGGCTTCAAGGAAAGCCCTCCAAGAAGCCTACGACGAAGGCTACCGATCCATCGCCGTCTGCCTCATGCACAGCTACACCTTCCGCGACCACGAGGCCGCGATAGCCCAGCTCGCCGCCGACATTGGCTTCACCCACATCTCCCCCAGCGCCGAGCTCTCCCCCGTCGTCAAGATCGTGCCGCGCGGCAACTCTTCCACGGCAGACGCCTACCTCACGCCTGAGATTAAGCGGTATATTGCTGGGTTCGAGGCCGGGTTCGAGGCCGGGTTCGAGGACCTGGGCACGAGCGGATGTCGCTGCGAGTTCATGCAGAGTGACGGCGGTCTTGTCGAGTTCTCGGGCCTGTCTGGTTTGAGGGCGATCCTGTCGGGCCCTGCTGGTGGTGTGGTTGGATACGCGAGGACGTGCTACGATGAGCTTGACAAGACTCCTGTTATTGGATTTGATATGGGCGGTACGAGCACCGACGTCTCGAGGTATGTCCACACTACATCTGCTTATGAAGTGCGTGTTCTAATGGGAAATCTAGATACGCGGGCGAGCTCGAACAAGTATTCGAGACAACAACCGCGGGCGTCATGGTCCAGACGCCGCAGCTGGACATCAACACCGTCGCAGCAGGCGGCGGCAGTATCCTGAGCTGGCAGAGCGGCATGTTCAAGGTCGGCCCTGAGAGCGCCTCAGCACACCCCGGTCCAGCATGCTACCGCAAAGGCGGTCCTCTTACCGTCACGGACGCAAACCTCGTCCTCGGCCGTCTGCGCCCCGAATTCTTCCCCAAGATCTTTGGTCCCAATGAAGACCTGCCCCTGGACGTCGATGCCAGCAGGCGTCTGTTCGAGGAGCTCACCGCCAGCATCAACAAAGATGAGAACACGAGTCTCAGTGTGGAGGAAGTTGCCGCAGGGTAAGCAATTCTTCACCCAACCCCCCCCTATTTCAAAGTAATATTAACATCCCCCAGCTTCCTCGACGTCGCCAACGAGTCTATGTGCCGCCCGATCCGCACCCTAACAGAGGCAAAGGGTTACGACGCAGGCCTCCACAACCTCGCCTCCTTCGGCGGCGCCGGCGGCCAGCACGCCTGCGACATCGCCAAAACCCTGGGCATCTCCCGCGTCCTCGTACACAAGTACTCCTCCGTCCTCTCCGCCTATGGCATGGCCCTCGCCGACGTCGTCCACGAGGAGCGCTCCCCCTGCGCCCTTACCTACTCCGAGGCCAACCTGCCCGTCTTCGCCGCCGAGCTCGACAAGCTCGTCGCCAAGGCCTCCGACATGCTCCTCATGCAGCGCATCCCCGAGGCCCGCATCGACGCCGAGCGCTACCTCAACATGCGCTTCCACGGCAGCGACACCCCGCTCATGATCCAGGAGACCGCCGCCGGCGGCTACCTCGAGGCCTTCAGGGCCGCGCACCAGAAGCAGTTCGGCTTCCTCCCCGTCGGCAGAGACGTCATCATCGACGACTACCGTGTCCGCGCCATCGGCCGCACGACCGTCAAGCTGCCCACCCCCTGGCCGGCCGAGCTCGCATCGCAGAAGGCCGTCCCGGCGCCCGCGGCCAAGACGACCAAGAAGGTCTACTTCAAGGGGCTCGGATGGGCCGAGACGCCGGTGTACGGCCTCGCCACGCTGGCGCCGCACTCGCGCGTCACCGGCCCCGCGCTCATCATGGACGATAAGCAGACCATCGTCGTCATCCCCGACGCCGCGGCGACGGTGCTCTCGGAGAACGTCGTCATCGACGTCAAGGTCGGAACGAAGGAGACCATGTCCGCGACGACGGTCGACCCGATCCAGCTGTCCATCTTCGGGCACCGCTTCATGGGCGTCGCCGAGCAGATGGGCCGCGCGCTGCAGAAGACGAGCGTGAGCACCAACATCAAGGAGCGGCTCGACTTCTCGTGCACCGTCTTCTCGCCCGAGGGCGGGCTGGTCGCTAACGCGCCGCACGTGCCGGCCATGATTGGCAGCATGGCCTTTGCTGTAAAGTGGCAGATTGACCACTGGGCGGGCAACCTCAAGCCGGGAGACGTCATCCTGTCGAACGCCCCTGTGTGCGGAGGCACCCATCTGCCCGACCTAACGGTCATCACGCCCATCTTCGACGCCGAGGGTAAGAAGATCATCTTCTGGACCGCCTCGAGAGGCCACCACGCCGACGTCGGCGGCATCCTCCCGGGCTCCATGCCGCCCAACTCCAAGGAGTTGTGGGAGGAGGGCGCCGTCATCAAGGCGTTCAAGGTCGTCGAGGGCGGCGTCTTCAAGGAGAAGGAACTCACCGACCTCCTCATGGCACCTGCCCATTCCCCAGGCTGCCAGGGAACCAGATGCCTCCGCGACAACATCTCCGACATCAAGGCCCAGGCCGCGGCGAACCACCGCGGCAGCCAGCTGATCCACTCCCTGATCGAGGACTACGGCATCGACGTCATCCAGTTCTACATGGAAGAAATCCAGGGCGCCGCGGAGCGCGCCGTCCGCGACATGCTCAAGACCATCCACGCCCGCACCGACGGCACGCCCCTTTCCGCGATCGACTACATGGACGACGGCACGCCGATCCAGCTCAAGGTGACCATCGACCCGGCCACCGGCGGCGCCGTCTTCGACTTCGACGGGACCGGCCCCGAGGCGTACGGCAACTGGAACGCGCCCATCGCCATCTGCAACTCGGCCATCATCTTCGCGCTGCGCTGCATGGTCGACGCCGAGATCCCGCTCAACCAGGGCGCCATCCGGCCCATTGACGTGCAGGTCCCCGAGGCCTCGCTACTGCGGCCGACGGAGCACGCCGCCGTGTGCGCCGGCAACGTGCTCACCTCCCAGCGCGTCGTCGACGTCATCTTCAAGGCCTTCGGCGCCGCCGCCGCCAGCCAGGGCTGCATGAACAACCTCACCTTCGGCACCGACGACCCGGAGACCGGGTTCGGGTACTACGAGACCATCTGCGGCGGCGCCGGCGGCGGCCCGACCTGGGACGGCGTCAGCGGCGTGCACACCAACATGACCAACACGCGCATCACGGACCCGGAGTCGCTCGAGCGGCGGTACCCCGTCATCCTGCGCCGGTTTTGTCTCAGGGAGGGCAGCGGCGGTAAGGGTGCGCACCCGGGTGGTGACGGCATCATCAGGGACATCGAGTTCGGCATCCCCATCAAGGCGAGCATCCTCAGCGAGAGGCGGTCGTTTGCACCGTACGGGCTGAGGGGCGGTGAGGACGGCCAGCGGGGACGTAATGTGTGGATCAAGAAGAGCGGGAGGGTCGTGAACCTGGGCGGTAAGAACACCGCCATGATGGAGGCGGGCGACCGCATCGTTGTCATGTCGCCTGGCGGTGGCGGCTGGGGCAGGCCCGAGGATCGGGTCCAGGGGGAGCAGAAGCAGGTGAATGGATTTGTGGGCGTGGCGAACGGAACGGTTGATATGATCCAAAGCATGGGAGAGTCTGCCTAAAAGGGGCGGCATGCACCGAGCAAGTCATTGTTTTTTTTTTTTTCTTTGGAGTTGGTAAAGGGGGATTTGGTCCATGGTAGCACATTTGAAATTCACGATATTGTTCTGTACTTTCTCGGGAGACTTACATTACGCATGAAGTGAGAAACAAGTTGAAATCGCTCATCTCATTCGAATTCGCGTACATGACTGTCGCTCTGTCTGGACGTCTTGAGCATTTTTTGCTCCTTCTCTCTGATATTTTCAGCTCGTCGCTGTTATTTCTCGTCTTCTTCCTCGTTCTCCCCTAACACTGACCTCACCACCTCAGCCACAATCATTCGAGTTGATGTAAGCCATGAACAATTATGGAGAAGATGGCATGACAATAATTCAAGTCGGGGGGCTCCTAAGGGAATCTCGTACTGCTCCGTCACTCAATAAGATGTCCAGGGTCTTTGAAAGGGACCATCATCACTTAGCTCCTCCACGATGATCCACAGCCCCGTAGGCATGCGCGATATAATGCCATCTCTCAATGTGATCTCTAACAACTCAACACAACCAATCAGCGCCGATGGTTTAGTGGTAAAATTCTCCGTTGCCATCAAGCAGCGTCGGGGAGCCGGGGGTTCGATTCCCCCTCGGCGCAATCTTTTGCTCGCTGAGGCTATTCGCAGCCCTGTGGTGAATCGTTTTGCTCAGTGCCTGGCTTGCTCTACTAGATGGCAAGATCGGGCAGGAAGCCCAGACATATTGATATTAGAATATGTAAAGAGCTATTCAGTTCTCGAAGCTTTCTTTTACACATCTGATGAGATTTAATTGATTAGGATCATGCAGTCGTTGTGAGACTACTCTGAAATTCCTCTCAGGTATCCTGAGGGCATTGGACACAGTATGTACAACAACGCTCGCACCCCGCACAGTCCACCCCGCCAGATCCAGCAGTGACAGTACCCCGCCATCCCGCAGCAAACGCGCCGTCTTCACCGACGCGACTCGCAGTACCCCGACGACAGCTTCATCACCACCGAAAACATGTCGTCTCACCAGCGGTCGTTTTCTCACTCCCAGGCCGGCGGCCGGGAGAAGACCTACTTCGAGCAGCAGCGAGAGGAACTGATCGGAGAAATCGCAATGGTGAGTGTCCCCATCCGTCGCCCATGTCAACAAATAGCAGCTGACACTGGAAAATAAACAGAGCTTCGAGCATGTCCTCGCAAACATCAACAAGCTGAACCGCTCCCTCGAGGCCGTCATTACGGTAAGATCATCCACCCTCGATTGTGGCTGCGGCGCATGATACCACAAGAAATTGAACATAAGGGCTGATGTATTCGCCAACGCAGGTCGGCAACGAGTTCTCCTCCGTCGAGGCCCTGTGGTCGCAGTTCGAGAACGTCATGGCAAAGGAACCCGAGCAGCAGCCCAAGGAAGGCGAAGGAAGCAACGACGGCGATGCGAAGAGCGAGGCGAGCTCATGAAATTGATACCCCCATACGTGTTCGGAAATGATAATGATATACGACGTCGACTCGATGCTCGGCTTGCTCTTCAACTCTATGCGACATGCGTGCACCAAAGGAGGCAACCATGCCGGCTTTATCACCAAAACCGCACCCTGGACCAACTGACAGCCCGCAGACTGCCCCATAAACTCGTCTCAGACCCATTCTCACTCGCCTCTCTCTTTCTCATCGTCTCAACCACACACTTGACGCCCCGTATCATCCCTTCAAGTCCCTTCTCCCCCTTCACCCTCCTCACCTCCCCAGCCGCAACAGCACACTTTGTCGTCGTAAACATCAATGCCCTCTCCATCTCAAGAACATCCCTCATCAGCCGCTGCTGCTGCTCCCAAAACTCCATCCCCCTCTTATGCGCCCTCAACACATCCTCCCGAGGCGGCTCCCCCTCATGTCGCACCTTTATACAGATCTTGGCATCGCAATAGTGGTACACCTCGACCTGCCGCTCCCTCAGCTCGGAGACGACACCCCACGACCCATTAGCCCGTTCCCTGAGCGCCTCAAGCGCCCTCCGAATGGCAACAACCATCCCCCTGGTCCGCTCGCACCGCAGCCTGGCGGACTCAAACTTGAACATAACCCCCGATAGAAGCCCACACAGCTTGGCCTCTTGCTCTCTCCGGGCAGCCTTGGCGTTCTCTCCGAGGTTCCTCCCCCAAAAGGCGTACGCCCAGGGCAATTTGCATTCCCTCGCGAAGGCGGCCACACGGCGCAGCTCCTCCTCGGCCTTCTTGACGTCCTCCGCGCACCGCGCCGCGAGATGTTCACTTTGGAGCAGAACCTCGCGTTCTTGGCGGATGACTTTCAGGTGCTGTTCGCATGCTGTCATCTCGTCATCGACGTACACCATCAGACAAAACGGGTCTTTTGAAAATAGGCCGCCGATGGATATGGTGGTGCCGGCGGTTGTTCTTTTTGAGCTGCCGTCGTCTGAATTTGGGCTGCCATTAGTTGTGGTAGTGGCGGTGCTGCTGTCGGCAGTTATCGTTGAGCTGTCATCCTCCGTATTTGGGCCGCCATTAGTTGAAGGAGTGCTGGTGGTTGTTGTTGAGCTGCTGTCGTCTGAAGATGGGCCGCCATCAGTTGTGGTGGTGGTGCCTGTGGTTGTGGTGGAGCCAGCATCGCTGCCGCAATCTGGATCGTAGTGACCAGATCGAGGGAGATCGGCAAGTTGAACTTGGGTACATGACATGATGTGCAAGGATCTGCTAGAGGTTGTGGTAGTTTGTTTGCTTTAGATTGATTGACAGATGGGGTGTTGGCCAACATGGAATTCTTAATCCTTTTTACAAAATCCCATCTATCCATATACATACATGGTCCTTCAGTCCCATTTCTCCGATGGTCTTGCTGCTCCCGTCATAACTCTCATCAACCTCAATAGCATCACCAAACTTAAAACTAGTATCACATCGGAGCAGTGCACGTTTCACAAATAATAGAATCAATAGACTTTTCTACTAAACATTTCATACTACACACACATTGCGAACCTTGGAAGCCATTGAATTTTGATGCTTTTAACATTTCATGTTTCCTATGCCTGGAATGCCCTATCAAGACAGAAAACCCGATGCTACAGGAAAGAAAAAAAAGAAGATAGGAAATAGAAAAGTTCCCACTTGGTTTAATACTGTTGGATACAGGAACCCATCAAGGTCTCTTCCGTACCCGCTCCGTTTGTGTCGTGTGTAAAGGGTATGGATTGAGTCTGCAACTCAGGTCTCACCACGTTCCCTCCGCGTTCCCCCCTATATACCGTTCTTCTCCCCTCTGAGTCAAAAGAAAAAATCACACATCCCACGTCCCTGGTGAAGGGAAAGTCGTCCCCGGTCTAGAGTTCATCCAGCCCCCAGGACAGGAGACGCCCCCTTCGCTAATGGCGGCGCATGCTTTCCAGATCGTAATAGTAGCAGGTCGTGACGAGATCATGCAGATAAACAAAAGTCATTCATTACGCCCTCCGCCTTCCTATGCCTTGTCGTTACAGTCGTCAAGACTTAGAGGATCTTGCAATTCCTCTTCTTCTTCTTCTTAAGAGGGCCGACGCCGGGGATGCCACCGCTGCTGCTAGGGGCACCGTGTGACGAAGAGACGGCGGCCTGGGCCTCGAGGTTTTTGCGGTCGTTGGCGACAACGGTCAGGATGGCCTGCTCAAAGATCTCGTCGACACCAGTCATCTCCTTACTGCTGCACTCCATGTACTGGGCGCCCATCTTGCGGGCGACGGCACGACCTTGCTCCGTCGTCACAGGGGTTAAGCCTTGTGTCTTGAGCATATCAATACATGTCTTCTTGAAGCGCAGGTCTGACTTGAGGCCGACGAGGACCAGAGGGGTGTATGGGCAGAAGTGGAGGACTTCAGGGTACCACTACGATGAGAACAAATTAGCATTAGCGGGAGGAAAAACGGGGTCCGCACGATAGGAGGGGCATTGTTATCAGAGGGGCGTACCTTGTCCATGACGTTTTCTAGCGAGTTGGGACAGTCAATCGCAAAACACACGAATATCAGGTCCGTCTCCGGGTAAGAAAGTGGTCGCAGTCGGTCGTACTCCTCCTGACCGGCCGTGTCCCACAGCGCCAGCTCCACGGTCTTACCAGACGGCGGGTGCGTCGGGTACGTGATGTAGTTTTCAAAGACGGTGGGGACGTATTTCTGCGTCGCCATGGTCAGCATTGTTTTGATTCATTTCGGTTGCCCGAAGCGCCAAATGGGCAGGGATAGCGTTGCGAACCCAGCAGCGACCAAGTGCGGTGATGGGACGAAATTGGGATGGCATTTTTCTGTGCGGTGCCTTACCTCTGGAAAGTAGCCTTGGCTGTAGCTGATGAGAAGACAAGTCTTGCCGCAGCCGCCGTCGCCGACGACGACAATCTTCTTGGAGTAGGCAGGGCCCTCGGTGACGTGGGTTGCGGCGCTCTCGCGCCCTGTGGAAGAGCTCATTGTGGTGCTGACGGTGCCGTCGCTGCTCCTAAGGCGCGTGTTGCGGCGGGAGGTAGTCGGGCGTCCCAGGCCGTCGTCGTACTTTTCGCTGAAGGTCTGGGACGAGGAGTACTGGTGTGAGGAGCGTTGGTATGAGGACGCCATAATGCGGCAGACTCAAGTGTGTGGTGGTGTGGGTGTTGTGCGACGACAAACTAATGTTGTTTCGCGGCGCGGCCCCTCGTTGCGTGATGCGGGTGCGTTGTTGTTGATGATGATGAAGTGTAGGTGTGTGGTAGGTAGGGGCCGGTCGTTCGTCTGAGGGGGAGGGGTTGTTGAGGGGGGAGAAGACGAAAGTTGTGACTTATGCGAATGTTGTCTGGGCTGTAGATGTTTCCCCGGGTACAGATTAGAAAGTGGTGGTGTGGTACAGATAGTTGCTTTTTCTCCAACCTCTCGGTTTCCTCGAATGTGGCGGTCGTGCTGCTGCGTTCAGTTCAGTCGGATGCCGTTGAGATACGGTTCTGGCGAGGCATGCGGTGCGGGCTAGGGGACGTTGCGGCGTTTGGATTGAGGAATGTTGGAGAAGGTGTTGATCTGATCAGCTCGGGATTGTGTATTGTATGGGGGTGGGTTTGTGTGCGAGAGGTGTGGATGGGCGGGTTGTGCTGTTCTTGAGGAGAGCGGACGGGAGCAAGGAGGGCAAGTGTAAACAAGTCGACGGGGCAACCAGCCACTTCTTGCCGGGGTGATGACGGCAGGCGGGTTGCGAGCGGCCAGGCGTCGAGAAGCCTGATTAGGGACCCACGGGCCAACAGCGACCTGCACCGACGCCTGAGAAAGGTGGAGCCTGTTTAGCGGCGGATCAACTGCAATCCCTGACAAGCTTGGTTGGCCCCTGTCGTCTGACGCACCGCCCAGAAACACTGGATCGGAACATCTCAGCTATCATCAGTTTATCCGGTCGAGGAACGGCCTATTCGCATTCCGGCGGGCGGCAGCAGCTGTGGGTGGCCCGAGCTCCACCCCACCACCGCCTCCTTCAAAATCGCGACGTGAATTTTTCCACAACGAACGCGTCCACCTTTCATCACTGCTTCCGCTTGCCACCAGCATTGAGGAAGCAAGAAAGCCTCGAAAGCGAGAGCTGCATCACCACACAGAGGAGCAACGCCTCACACACCTGCTTTCCCTCGAAAGCAGTGCCACCTGCCAAGGGACGCAGCATTCTCAGCAGCCCTCCACTGCCAGAGTCTGAGGCAAAAACCTCGCCGCAACCATGGACGCCAACGGGGACGCCCAAAGCAAGTACATTACTCTGGTCTCTAGTGATGGCTTCGAGTTCGTCGTGCTGCGTGAGGCTGCTCTGATCAGCCCCGCGATCAAGGGCATGTTGGATCCCCGCAGCCAGTTCCGTGAGGCCACCTCGGGACGCTGCGTCTTTTCAGAAATCAGGTAAGCTACAAGTCTCTTTCTTTCTCACCAACCCAAAGCCATCAATATGATGATCTCAAATTTATTTCGCTGTGTTCTTACTGACAGACCGCTGCTGCAACGGCTGGTCTGCTTGATTGCCAACTACACTTGATCTGAAACAAAACCAACATTCCTTTTTTTCCTCTTCCCACGCTGGTTTCCCAGCCACACATTCACACAGCACAATCCTTCCGCTTTCTTCTGTCCGCGTTCTGGAAGAATCTAACCACCGGGTTCCCACAGTGGCGTTGTCCTCGAAAAGGTCTGCGAGTATTTCCAATACTGGTACCGCTACCGGGAGCGTGAAGACGTCCCAGACATGGACATTCCTGTCGAGCTCTGCCTCGAGCTGCTGGTCGCTGCCGACTACCTGGGCTTGGACAGTAAGACAAAACCCTCACCAGCCTCCTCCCCACGGGCTGTCTCGGCCGCAACGGTTCTGACACTGCTTCCAGAACAGAACACCGGCTCCTTGTGATGACTGTTATGAAACAACCCATGTGATTTAGGCTTGCTATCACGGAGTTCTGGGCGTTTGAGCATGACGGCAAAGGCACACTGGGGAAAAGATACCACTGCTACGCCATACTGACGAATTCATGCCGAAGAGGCAACTTTTCTTCTCTTTTTCGATGATGACCAAAAACGTGTTTCGCGACGTCAAACGCGACAGCACCCCATCTTAGCATATGCGTTCCTCCCTACACTCCTCCGTGGGCTGAACGTCTAAAGTAGATGGAAGATTGAATCCATTCCACTCACTCTGCTCGACTCAGGTTCTTCCATTGAGATCTACGCTTTTTCTGTTGGGATACATACTTTTATAATAGTCCTCCCGTAGCTGGGTATAATACAAGTTTCATCATCAATTTCTGCTCCAAGTGTTCGACTCTCTTTCAAAAAGTGATGGTGTACTCTAATGCCAACCTCGGCCTCTGCCCCTTCCCCGACCTCTACCGCCTCGACCACCACGTCCGCCCCTGTGAAAGCCTCTTCCGCCGCCTCGGTGTCCTCTAAACTCCCCAGCAGGCGGTCCTCTGGCCTTTCTCTCCAGGCGCTCCTCCTCGCTCGCGTCCCAAAGGTTTTGAATCTCCAGCAGCTCGCAGAACGCCGCCGTCTGCGGGCTGGTGTACTCAAACGGTTGGTGCGGCACCGACTCGGGCTCGCCCTCGGTGTGAGGCGGCGCCGTGACCTCAAAGTTGAGCGGGACATCCAGCTTGCCCTTCGCCACGACGTTCTCCTCAACCCACTTGCGCTCCGCATCGATGAGCGGCGCGTAGTGCTCCTCGCCCAGGTCCTGCGGGGTGTGCGCCGACGGATCCCCGATCTTGAGCGTCGGGTGGAAGACGCGGGTGATGGCGAGCCATTCGGGGTCGTACTGCAGACGGAAGGGGCGGGCGGGTGCAGGCTGGTCGGCGGGGAGGACGTTGTGCGGGCGCGCCTCGAGGAGCTGGAGGAAGTGTCGGCGGGGGAGACACTTGTCGAGGGCGAGGAAGTTGACCTGCTTGTTTGTGATGGTCGGCGGGACCGGTTGGCCCGGCGTCCGCTTGGCCTGCGGTTGAGGGCGGGCGAATGATGCGGGAAGCTGGGCGCGCAGTTCTTCGGAGACGGTGCTTTTGGTGACGGGTTCCGGCCTGCTGGCCGTGGCGTTCGCAGCAGCGGTTGACTCGTCGTCTTCGTCTTCGTCGAGATCAATCTCGTTCGGGTTTGTCTGCGTGACTGGTGGTGCGTCCACAACATCCTCATCACCATCCAAATCAATCTCATCCGGGTTTCCCTCTGGCGCTGCA